TTTTTTTTTGGTGGGGGGACGTAGGGACAAGTCCTGTGCAGTGGGTCCCACTGCACACGTGGACACCACGTGTGCAGAAAAGAAGCCACATCATCCAAAAGCAAATTCACATATGAATTTAACGAATAAGGAAAAAAATTTGAACAGGAGCCCTGGGTTCCTCCGGGAACCCAGCGGGAGGAACCCGATCCGGGTTCCTCACAGAACCCAGCTCTGGGTTCGGCGAGGAACCCAAATCGGGTTCCTCCCGTTGGGTTCCCGGAGGAACCCAGGGCTCCTGTTCAAATTTTTTTCCTTATTCGTTAAATTCATATGTGAATTTGCTTTTGGATGATGTGGCTTCTTTTCTGCACACGTGGTGTCCACGTGTGCAGTGGGACCCACTGCACAGGACTTGTCCCTACGTCCCCCCACCAAAAAAAAAAAAATTTTTGAACAGGAGCTTTGGGTTCCTCGCTGAACCCAGAGCTGGGTTCTGTGAGGAACCCGATCTCCTGCTGGGTTCCTCGTGGGGGGACGTAGGGACAAGTCCTGTGCAGTGGGTCCCACTGCACACGTGGACACCACGTGTGCAGAAAAGAAGCCACATCATCAAAAAGCAAATCCACATCTGAATTTAACAAATAAAGAAACGCCGCATGTGCCACGTCAATTTTTGGGTGCCACTTAGTGCATTTTTTAATGGTGCCATGACGGTCCGTTAAAATATTGAGTTTTTTACGGGTTTTGAAAGGTGGAAGGTGTGAATAGGGAGAAAAAATTCTGAAAGGTGTTGGCCGCCAAAAAAAAATAAATGGAGGGTGCAAATAGGGGCTTTGGCTATAATTATTCACTAATTAATCACAAAAAATTTCAAAGTACAATAAATTTCACATTGAGTTGGGCAAATTAATTGTTTTAAGACATAAGTTTACAACTTTACAATTATATGTTAGTCCCTTTGGTCCTATATAGTTATCCTACTTCATCAATTTTATATTAGTTAACTTGATGATTTTATATAATAAATGAATAACAACTAAAAAGTTTTCAATCTAAATAAAATACTCAACAAGTAATATGTTTAGGAGGAAAAGGGTTTTTAATTGTTATTTGTTTGTTATATAAAATTATCAAGTTAAACTTTATGTAAAAGTCAAATTAATACAACTAAAATAAACCAGAGGGAAAAATAGTTTAAGGCACATTTTTTTTTTCTAAATGATACGTAATTGATTTAGGTGTCGATAGAATTGGCCCTTCCCTGTAAATCATGACTCTTCCACTTAGTATAGTAATACTATTGTTAAAATATTATAAGATTATAAACTTATAATTATGATGTATTATTAAATGAATATGATATCACAGATAAATCCTTAAATGAAAATAGTCAATTATATAGCGATATATTATATTGTAAACTTACAATGCATGACATATTATAACTATATCATTTTCAAGAGAATAATTTATAAAGTTAAGAGTTAAATATTCTTATTTGTTATTTGAACAACTAATAAGTATCCCTTTGATTTAATTTAATTGTCTTAATTTCACTTTTACATAAAATTTAATTAGATAATTTTATATAATTTATAGAGAACAATTCAAAAAATTTTTTATACGTAGTTTTCTTAAGCATTTTTATTTAAACTAAAAGATCTTTCAATTGATATTTGTCTTCCATATAAAATTATCAAGTTAATTTATATAAAATTAAGACTACAACAATTAAAAAAGAATTTGAGGGAGTAAGTTTAAGTAAGGTACCAGAGATCCCTTGCAACGGTTTTGGGAAATTTTATTGATTTAAAAAAAAAAAACAAAAAAGAAAAACAAAAGAAAGGCAACTTTTTCTTTTCTTTGTTCTTAAGCTGAGTATAAACACGAACCGAATCCAGAAATACCTGTACCCAACACCATGACCACGCACGCAGAGAGGGCACAAGCTCAGCTCGATTAGGGTTTATATAAATCACCATATGCTCGCTCTCTCTTTGGAACTCTGAAATCTCCAGTCTCAAATTCTAGGGTTCCGTTTCGGTTCCTTCAGTCTTCTCGCACTTGCTTAGGGTAAGCTACTCAAGTTGGCCAATTTCATTTTTCATATATCACAAGTTTTCCGTTTTGTTAGATCATCTCCTCTAAGCAAATTCTACTGTTTCCTGCTTAATCATTTTCTTGAAAGCTGTTTTTGGTTCCCGAGAGAGTTGATGGATAAGGAAACCCAATATATTTGGGTTTAAATTTTTCTGTGTCGATGGTGAGAACCTCAGACTATGTACATGTTCGCGCTGTGGAGGCGTTTTTGGCAGTCTGAGTAGCTTTCTGGTTGAATTTTCTTGCATATTCATGCCAACTAAAAACCTGGCATTGAAGATCACTTTTGGTTGCCACCCTTCAAGGATTCAAGCATTTTCATGGGTGGATGGTCTTTTAATTTAAAACGGAGCAGAATTGATTCTTTCCATGGATTTGGCTAAGTTGGGTTTGCGCTGAAAGCTTATTAGTTTCAAGGACCTAACTTTGGAAAATTTGTTCTGGGTGTTTCCCCTCAAAACGTTTTAACGCTTCCATTAAGTGGTACTTTAGATCGAGACTGGATATTTATGGAGTTATTAGATGCTATAATTGGTTTTCTGATTTGCATTTTATGTTGTACTCACTGTTATGATAGAATTCTTAATTAGTGTTTAAGTTTTTGAGAGTGATCTTTCATATGAGTTATCTTCTTATTTATTGTTACTGCAGGGATCTCATTTCAAGGGCTTGAGTTGAAGGCTACACCTGCAGAAGTTGCTTTCAGTACCAAAATCTGGTAAGATGCATGGTCAAAGGAATTACAATCCTCAGTATGGTCAGCATCCTCAAATACCCATGCCACCTCCATACCAACAGCACCCACTAGGGCCACCACCTCCATCTCATTTCCATCAAGGTCCTGCTGGCCCTGCCATATTTCAGAATGGCCCTCCTGCTCGGCCACATCAAATCCATCAAGTTCCACCTGTTGCAGTGTCAATTCCTGGCCAATCTTATGTACACCCATCCCTGCCACTTCATGGAAGCACCTCAGTTCCACATATGTATCCTACTCAATCAAATTCACAGAGTTCACAGCATGTGCCATCCCCACTTCCTCTTCCCCTTGGCACATCACACTCAGAGATGTTTCAGGCTTCAACACCAGCTCAACCTCTACCTCCTGCTTCTTCCCAGTCTCAAGGCCAAACATTTTACAGAGCTCTGGTGCATCCTCCATCTCAGCAATTGGGTCTGCAGTATGCCCCACAGCATCCTCTCCCCCCTCCCATGCCTAGTTTCTTCACTTCTGCTCCCCTTGCAAGTTTTTTACATTCAACAGGGGGAAACTCTCATGTTTCTGCTGTAGGTCCAATGGGTCCACCGCCTCCTCCCTCTTCTCTACCTCCCATTCAACCATCTCCTCCAGCTCCCACCTCTACCGTCTCAGCTTCTAACCATGCTCTTCTACCTTCCAACTTGTCAGGTAATTCAGACAATGATCATTGTTCCAGTGAACTTTCTAATAATAAATCAATGGCTTCAGTTTCTGCTGATGAAGTTGTAGCCTCAAATCAGGTCAGACATACTGTACTGGCTGATGATAACTTCCTGAATCAGGAAGGTGGAAGTGTGTGTGAGGTTGAAAAAGGAAGTTTGAAATTGGATAATTTATATAAAGGGAAAAGTAATTCACCCTTGAGGCCTTTGGAAAATGAGCCTTCAACACGACCCTATCATTTGGGAGTTGCACCTACATCTCATTCACCTGCTGATTCGGACATGGAGATGGAAGGTATGACTATGCTCATAATATTTATTCTTGTTATTGGTATGATGATGCTCCAGTGCTGGAGCTATGCAGCCCTGAAAATCTGTCTTCCTCTAGAAAATTACTAAAATCATTTGGTAATAGTTTAAAATGAGAAAGTAAAATATTACATTGTGAAAGTTTCTTGTTCATGTTCAAGCCTGACAGAATCAATCAGCTCACTGCAGTTTTATGTGAAATGTTGAAATTTTCATTATCATACATGTCATAAGTTAAGAATAAGTTCTGGAGAGTTGTTCGGTACTTTGTTGTGTAGATCATCAAGCATTATTTTATTTTATGGTTCGATTCTTATAAATAAGTTCAACCTGTGCTCTGAATTTGCTTTTCTGTATTTGAGTGTTTTCCTTGTAGAGTTTCTCTTGCAGTATTCATATCCTTGTTAATAAGCTGCCCTGCTAATCTCATTCACTTAATCGCTTTACAATACTGGGAGAAGTGATTTTTAATGAGCTTGTGTTGAATTTTCTGGGGAAGAGCAGTTAAAAATTTTTCTAAACAAATATGTCAAGAATTACTTTGAGGTAGGAGATGATATTTTTCTAGAAAAGTACTCATAAAGAAGTTACTCTTAGGCTTCTGATATACTGAAGGAAAACAAAAAAAATGATTGACTTTCTCAAATAATTCTTTCTTCCCTTTACTTTAGCTTTTGTTTTTAGTGAAAGTGTTCATTGTGCAGATCCAGAAGCTTTATTGGCTGCAATGTATTTTCTTTATACTTAATTATTGTTGCTTATGAACTAAATTTATGCATGCATGTAGGTCTAGCTTAATTTACATACTTTCTATTTTACTTATTCATCA